GATTCTTAGAATCTCCATGAGGCAGGCCTACAGAAATAACATACCTGCAGAGAATCTCCATAAATATTATAAACGGGCCTTGATTATACTTTTTCTCAACACCATCATTTCAAAAATCAAATTGCGCTTCCAAAAGACAAATTGCATTGCTGCTAAGGTTTTATGCATGGATCCCTTGATAATTTGCAGTAGGAGATAACTACTTTCCAGGAGTTAGTTGAAATGTATTAAAGTGAACTTCCAAACTCAGACGCTGTAGATCAAGAACTCATGTTTTGGAAAAGAAAATAGTCTGTTATTAAACCTGAAGATAGGTCTAATACTCTAGCTGATGCCATTAAAATCTGCGATGGAAATCAATATTCTAATCTCTTCGAGCTTCTAAAGATCAGGTGTACACTACCCGTAACGTCCGCAGAATGTGAACGCAGCTTTTCAGCAATGCGAAGATTAGGAACATGGTTGAGAGCCAGTATGACTGCAGATCCCAAACAGCAAGCTTACATTGGACCAACGTTGGGCTAATGCATGATGATACATTGGCATAACGTTGAAAGTCGATGTTGGCCCAATGCAGATTTGATTATTGGTTAGGTATTGGCCCAACGTTGTGTACAACATTAGCCCAATGTTGTATACAACGTTAGGCCAATATTGTATACAACATTGGACCAATGTTGTATACGACATTGGACCAATGTTGTATACAACAATATATCGGACTTACGTTTATATTGGGCCAATGTTGTATACAACAATATATCGGCCTAACGTTTTATGCAACATTAGATCGTTTTTACAAATAAGATGATTTGCATCGCTACATTGAAAATTTATAGAGAAAAAAAAGAATGTATGATTAAAGTATAAAAATTTATTTATTTAACATAATTTGCAATATGTATATTTAACTCGGTTAAATATACATATTGCAAACACCAAACTTAAACCAAAAACTGACATATTGACTTTTAAATAGAAACTGACATATTGACTTTTAAATAAAATTTACAGAGTAGTTTCGATATTGGCTGAGCTACTTGTTATTGAATCGTGTTCAGGTTATGATATTTGGTGATTATTATTTTTTCTTCCACTATCTCTATCACAGGACTGCATAAGCCATGCTTATTTGACTTCACAGTTTCTGCAAAAAAAAAAAGTTGTTTGTTTAATTATGTACCAAAGAAACATAACAAACTGAAAGTAATTCTGTAATGCAAAATTGAAACTGAAAAAATAAACTTTTCTAAACCACTTACCAATAGCAACATATGCAATGAACATTTTTCCTATTCCAAGTTTTTGTCCTCTCCCTGCATAGTTTAATTTTACAGCTAGACCATTTTAAAAAACTATTCTTAGTAAATAACATATACAATCTCCTTCGTCTTTAACTCCAATTTGTGCCAAATAATTGACCTGCAAAAATACACAACCTGGCAATAATTAAAGTAACTTTTGTTTGGACTTAAATTAATATAAAATGTCATATACAAAAAATCTTCAAAGAGTATTTTATTTAAAGTATATAAATTGTACTAAGATATCATACAAAATTTACCATTTACTTAAGTATTTTCTTGTCCTTTTTCTTCCAGAGTACTTGAATTCTTTGCTGCTTTTAATGGCGGTGGCACTCTTTCAGGCAATACAATAATTAGCATACCTTTGTTACTTAAACTTTTATAACTGAATTTGATGTGTTATGCAGTTCACCAAGATGCACTTCAATGTTTGCCCATTGTGTCAATAATACCAGCAGATCTTTCAAGGATACAACTTTATCTTGAAATAATAAAGTTAATTATATTATTAAGAAACTGAACAACTAATTACATATTATATTTAGAATTTATGAAAGTAAATACAACAACCACTAATAAAACAGATAAAATTAAAGACAGAGGGGCAAATTTTTAATGATAAAAATATATACCTGCAAACGGATTCATAATATTATGAATTATGAAATTTGCAGGTGTGCATTCAACTTCTGGCACTGACACAAAACAATTCTTGTTAATGTTTAAGGTTAAACATTAACGAGAATTGTTTTGTGTATCTTATAAAATACAAATTGCACTGTAAAACAAAAAAATTCATATTATAACAATGTTTCTCCAACAGGGTTCATAGCCAACTATTTATATAAAATTCAAAATTCAAAGTTAAAAATGGTCAGGGAAAAGATGAATTTCCCTGACCATTTTTAACAATGGTTTTTACAAAATGCTTAAAATTACTATCTACTGTAATGGAAATGCTAATATTTATGCTTTGAATGACAAAACTTATAAAACTTAGCTATTAGTTAAGTTGGATATTAGTATGGAGCTTATTATACATGTTAGTATGGATCTTATTATTAATGATGACTAAGAATGAACACTAAGAAAAACATAAGTTTCAAAAAAAATAAATGGGTAGCACTTAAAAAAACATATTAGCTTAATTGAACGCTGTATTTGTCTATTAGCTTAATTGAGCGCTGTATATATCTATAAATCTCAAATCCAGCCTTGTATGGAATACTGTTGCCATATCTGTATATAATACATATATATATATATATAATATATATATATATATATATATATATATATATATATATATATATATATATATATATATATATATATATATATATATATATATATATATATATAATACAGTTGTGAGCATGAAAATAGCAGTACCTGGAATATTTTGAAAACTATTGCGCAATTTTTTTTTACTTATTACTGAAAAAAATTTATTGCATTTATTTTGACACTTCAATCTAATAAAACAAAAAAAAATTACATCAATAATAGTTTTACATTTTATTTCAGAAAAAAAAAACAATAATATCAAGAAAGCTCGCAGTCATTGAAATAGCAGTGGTATCTGAAAATAGAGAAAAAATTATTTTTTATGGTATTAAACATTAAAATTGCAAACTTTTGAACATTATAAAGTTAAAAATAAGTCTAATATAACAATATTTACCCTTAGTATTTCGTTGCAAAACCTTTGTTTGAGATAACGGCTTCACAACGCCGATGCATTGAATCAACTAGGCATTGACATTTTTCTGCTGGTATTGCGTACCATCCTTGTTGAGTAGCTTCCCATAACTGCTGAGCATTAGTTGGATTAGCAGTAGAAGCTGCTTTTTTAACGTCTCCCCATAAGTTTTCAATGGGGTTTAGGTCAGGGGACTGAGCAGGCCACTCCATAACCTCAACCCCATTGACCTGAAACCACTCTTTTGCCTTGTGACTAGTGTGTTTTGGGTCGTTGTCTTGTTGAAAGACCCATTTTAACGGCATATCTTCATTAGCATAAGGCAGCATGACATTATTGAGGATATCGACATATATATGTTGGTCCATAATACCATTAATCTTATAAATAGGTCCGACACCATTATATGAGAAACAGCCCCATACCATGACTTTGGCTCCACCATGTTTTACAGACTTAATGGTATATTTTTGCTGGAATTCTGTATTAAATGGACGTCTTACATATTGTCTTGAACCTGTACCTCCATAAAGAACTATTTTTGATTCATCAGTCCATAATACGTTGCGCCACTTTTCGATGGGCCAATTCAGATGTTGGTTTGCGAACTGCAAACGTTTAGCGGTATGTTTTTTTGTCAACAAAGGGACCTTTCGTGGACTGTGTGCATACAAACTTTTCTCTCGTAAGCGTCTATGAACTGTTGTTTCACTCACCTGTAGGTCAAGATCATCTTTGACTTGCTTGGCCGATGAAAATGGTTTGCTTTTAACAAATCTAACAATTCTTCGGTCTTCTTGCGCGGTAGTCTTACGTTTCCCCCCTCGTTTTTCAACTTTTGCTATATAATTTATGGCATTTGAAATCATCTTTGCTGAACATCCGAGAATATTTTGTATATATGAGTAAGATTTACCCTCTCTATAGTGTTTCAAAATAATGTTGCGTTCTGCTGGTGTACAATGATGTCCTTGGCCCACTTTGAAAGGTTTAGAAAACAATTTTACCATTACGCATACTCAAATAAATAAAGAATATGTTATAATTGAAGTAGTACTTACTTTTTCAACGAAAAATATTAAAATCTCTTCAAGTTTTGTTAACTAACTTTAAAATTAATACAACCACTGCTATTTTAATGCATTTTGTCAATTACAATATTTTTATTAAAAATAAAGATATTCTACAATGTAATGAATTCTCATTTACTCAATTTATTTATCTCATTCTAGTACATACACACATAAAAAATTAGCCCTTCTGTATTAACAGAAGGAGAGTAATATTGAAAAAACGAATAATTTTTTGGTACTGCTATTTTCATGCTCACAGCTGTATATATATATATATATATATATATATATATATATATATATATATATATATATATATATATATATATATATATACTCTTGCATGTCTCTTGCATGGCATCAAAAAAAGTTTCCCATAAACTGTAGTTTTAAAGAGCGCGTTAATAAACCAGACCAGAAAAAGTTTTGAAAATTAAATTTTTTTTTTTAATTGATAGACTGCCTGGCCAAACCAAACCCTCAGTCGATGTAGCAGCACTCTCTTGCGAGTCAGGCTATTTGTCAGTCGTTGTAGCAGCACTCCCTTGCGAGTCAGGCTATTTGTCAGTCGATGTAGCAGCATTCCCTTGCGAGTCAGGCTATATGTCAGTTGATGTAGCAGCACTCTGTTGCGAGTCAGGCTATTTGTCAGTCGATGTAGCAGCACTCCGTTGCGAGTCAGGCTATTTTACAGTCGATGTAGCAGCACTCCGTTGCGAGTCAGGCTATAAGATAGTCAATATAGCAACATTTACGCATATTTTAAAAATATTTTTTATTAAATCAATAACAAAAACACCACTAATTAAATTAAAAATTATCCTACCTAAAGTTTTTTTTATTGGTTGAGAATATCACATGTCAAAATAAACAATATTTGTAATACCGTAAAATGAAGAAAATTTAACATTATTTTTAAAAAAAAAAACGTAAAAAATGTAAAAAATTAAATAGGATTTTCCATTAAATAAATAGAAATGACTGCCACCCCGTACCAAAACCCTCAGTCAATGCATGTACACTACACAGCGCCTATCTATATAGATAGACGGGTTTGAATTGTTTTGATTTTGTCTGTTAATGTACGCATGCGCACTATTTGGCAGTCAAAAAACTTTGTTTATCTATTTTTTAGTGGATTTCGTATAAAACTTATGTAGATGTGGTCAAATTCTTCGTATTTTAATACACTAAACAAAAGTGATCAACTAGATTACAAGAAAAAATTGACATTAGAAAATAAGGAAACGTTGCCAGACCCGTATTTAATCGATAAACCTTATTGGAGTACAGATTTGACAAAAATACCAGATATATTTTGGTGTGACGTTTATAATTACCTTATCAATTCTACAAGTGAGTACTGTCGCTGGAATTTTGGTCCGCGAAAATTTTTATCCCGGACCAATATTTTCGTTGAAATTTTTGGTCCGGCCGGATAAATTTTTGCGATAATTTTGGTCCACCTTGAAAAAAATGATCCGTGATAATATTTCAAAAATTTCGCACAAATATTGCAGTTTTGAAAACGGACCAAAATTTTTGGTAAAATTTTTGGTCCGTGTAAATCAATTTTTGATTTTTTAACTTAAATTTATAAATTGATAACAAATTTAGACATAATGAGTGTAAAATAGTAAAATGGATATGATCATAGTTTTTTAACGAGTTGTTAAATCTTTCTTTAGGTTTTATGAAATCAATTTCTCCAAAGAATAATGGTTGGCTCATTCATACTCTATGATCTTTTATAGCTTTTTCATATTTAATAGAAAAAATTTGCATATATGATGCATAGACCGCATAGATGCATAGACCCGGCATAGCCATATCTTATTATACTTCTCGATTTGAAGGGCTTTGAATGTCTGCTTGCATGAAACCCGCGTCCAGGAATAACTTTATGACTGCATTACCATTATTGTAAAACTTGATCTGATGTTTAAATTTGTCTGGAAGATCCAAACAAACAGTAATGGTCTTAAAACCGAACAGGTTTGTCGGTTTTAAGATTATTACTATTTGTAATGGCCTTGTAATGTAATGGAACATTGCAACAAAAATATTACTAGCAGCGTACGTTAGGGTCATTGGTGGCAACATTTTCCCAATGGCATGTTCTCTGGTTATGACTGTCTGTTATCTTCCTAATAGCCATGCTTTGATGGATGCGCAAAGTTCCTCATTGATTCCATAGCTTTGGACTTTGTCAAAGGATTTTGTTAAATTTGTAAGATAACGTTTATATGTGTACCTGAAATGATTCAGCGCACCATTATTGAAAAAATTAGAGTATTTTTGGGGGCGTTTTGGCATTCAATATCCATATCCTAATGTTTACTAAAAAAGCAAGAAATTATTTTAATTTATGCCCACAGTTAAATGTAATTAATTTATGTATCATGCTTTTATTTATACTAGAATACAAGTAAAAATAGTTATGTTCGTTTATTTGGTATGGTAACATATCAAATAAACATAACATATGGTAAAATAATTAAACAATAGTCAACAGGTAAAAATATTTAATCTAATAAATGTCAATGCTATCCACATGTCAAAGTAGCCCCAAGTTATCTCAGACCTTTCTCAGCTTTACTCTACACATGACACTAGTAGCGGACTGGCTGTATATATATTACCGGACTGGCTGTATATATATTACAAAGACTGCCCGGTCCGCAATTTTCAAAAAATCAGTCCTGAGAGAAACAATTAAATCACAGAATAATAAAATTAGATTGAATTAAAAAAGTACAAGTGATGTGCAATTTTCACAGTGCAAAGTATAGCAATAACTATTCTTAATAACAGTTTGCACAATTTAGAGGACGAAGATGCATATCTTTGAATGATCGTATCATACTCAAGGCTATCAAGTAGACTTTTTTCTAAAGACGTCAACATATACAACTCTAAGTGGACATTCGCAATCTTATCTTGATTAACTTTAAATTAGAAAACGATTTTTCACCTTTGGTTTGTGTTACAAAATTAGTATATATTTTTTTGTAATTATGATACAAATTGTCATAGGTTTTGTCGTTGAGTCTATATGCAGCAAGAAATCGTAACACATAAGATCGACACGATCCACATGCTTTATTAGTATTTTTATAACAACGCGGTTAATCTGGATCATCCTTTTGATCTGCATTCTCTCTCAATGTTGTCGTTAATGGCCAAGATAATTTCAAAATCTCATAGTTAATCACAAATGACAACAGTTTGGCCTTTATTTTATCAACATCGGCATCTGGTAAAAATTTGATAATGCTGGGTAAACTGTTGTATCAAAATATGTCATGTCCATATATAATTGTCAAAGTGAAGTGAAACGTGACTCAAGACTTTGGACTACCTAATCCATCATCGCGTTGTAAGTGGGAATTCTGTAGGGTTCCAAAGCTTTATATTCGTCATGTATGATCATCTAACATCATTTGTGTCTTCCGCTTCCCTTTAACAGCTAGTTCTGTCTTCACCTCTAATATGGTTTCAGTTTTCTGGATGATGCTTGCGTTTGCTATCCGTACAAATTGAAGAGCGTTATTATGAACATCATCAAAAAATCTTGATTGACTTTTCAATTCAATTGCAGCCTTATCCACCATCTTGAATGCAACCAACACATTTAATCCACGAGTTGCAGGTATATTGAAAGTGATCCCACTTTTTCAAAAATGTGCAGGTATGTAAAGGCAGTCAAAATGGTATCGAATTTCAGGAATGGCATGAGGAATGTCTTAGCTTCATGACGTGTTTTTGCATCAAAATTTTCTGATTCGCTTATAAATGACGGACAAAAAATTAAATTGACAAACACTGTTGAAAACGGCGCAGCAAATGTTTCAAATATCGCCGTTGCAGCATTTGATTTACCCGACCAATCAACTTCAATCTTTTTATCTTATCCATTCCAATTTGTGTTTCAACAAGTTTAATCCAAGTCGCCATTCGCCAATATGACACTTTTATGAATGTTGAAACATTTTGCTAAAGGTTAAAAAATGAAACTGCCTGAATGCAGCAACTGGTTGCCTCCTTCACAACTAAGTTGAGAACATGAGCATAACACCAAACATGTACATGGTGGTCTGCAGCTTCTGTAATCTTTTGTTACAGTCCGTTGTACTGGCCATGATAACTTGAAGCACCATAAGTGGTGTCCGATAGGCAGTATTGCAAATTAAAGCCAAGCCGCTTTAGCGTCAAATTTAAGAGATCGAACATGCTTTGTCCTATTATCTGACAGCAAAACTCTTTGTCCTATTATCTGACAGCAAAACTCTTGGCACTCCCAACCTCATGAAAACCTGAATAATAGACTTATGATAATAGTACAATATACATTAGAGCCCCGCAAATCAGCATTTTTTGTTTTGAACCAAATCTTTAATCAAAGCAGATCGTGATTTGCGTTTCGAATCACATTTCGAATCAATATTTTTAAAACTAATATTAAACTTTTTTTTTTAATAATATATAATTCAAAAAAAAAAATAATTGTAGAAACTCTTTTTTGGTGCTTTTTGCCCTGATTAACATTTTAAACTATTGATTAAGAAGGATTTATGTAAGCAACAAGTACAGTGACAAGAAAACCACATTTTGTAAAAATAGACTAAGGTTATGGGAAGAATGTAATCAATTAGAAATCAATTAGAAAATATGTATTTTTTTTAAGGCCAAGGCCAAAACAATCAAGGCCAAGGCAAAAATTTTCAAGACCAAGGCTAACAGTTTCAAGGCCAAGACTTCAATTTTTGGCCTTAAAGAAAAGCCAAGGTTAAGGTCAAGCCCAAGGACTAACAACTCTGGTGGTATTTTTATCTTATGTTATTATTATATATTTTTGCTATTATTACTATTATTATTATTATTATCAAAACTATTGTAAAATGATAAACATAAAATAAATAGCTTGTTGTTGTTGTTGGTTTTACATGACTTTTATCATACATATTACATACATATTTTTTAATGTTTTAAAGGGCGTCGTTCTCCCTGTTCTAGGGAGTGTGCGTGTGTGTGTGTGGCAGCTCTCCCCCATGCCTTATACTAAATCCGCTACTGCACGTTTCATCAATCTTGTGCATCGTCTTTCTTTAATTCTTTCAAAAATTTTCTTTACCTACCTCACTTTTTCTTATAAAACTTCTCTCTAAATGCTGATACCCAATCAGTAGCACCTTTACGCTCTAGATACCCAAACCAACTTAATTTTCCCTAGTGTATCCTAACAAATACACCATCAGATTCCTTTTCAAGATCATCACATTTGAACTCTTCAGAAAGATATAATATTATATTATTATTTTATCTTCATTTAAGTGTAATTTTTTTTTTTTTCAATGGAATTAATTTATTAAAGTTTAAGAAATTTATTGATCAGAAAGAAAGTGGTATGTAAAATAAATTTATAGGGACATTTTCAAAGCTGAAAAGAAATGACAAGCATGTGAATTAAGAGAATAATTCAGGTTAGAAATTAAAAAGAGCAACTTTAGCAACAATTATCATAAGTGTAATTATCACATTTGGGCTGACTCTGCCATTGATGCCTTTTCTCTTTTAGACAAAATCAAAAAATAAAAATAGAAGTTACAAAAAAAATATTAATGTTCAAAGAATATCTGGATATTTCTGGATATTTCTGGAATTCCTGATATTTTCTCTATTTTTTGTTTTTTCGGATATCCAAAATAGTTTCATTACATATAAGTTTAGGGATATATTTTTGTAATAAATTTTTATATATAAATAGATTTATAAATAAAGAAATTGGAGAGAAAATCAGTGTATTAAATTGAGATTATCAGGGAATTTTAAGATTGTTTGGAAATATAGAATGTAAAGTTGCAAACTATTTGGACACAAAAACTTGATACCCAGAAAGGTAGCATTTAGCAAGGATG